GATCCAGCGCTGGTAGAGGTAAATGAAGAAGACGACGTCTGCGGGGAGGAAGAGCGGCGTCATGGGGGGAAAGAACGGGAAAAGCGGGATTTGGGAGGGTGGGGGGCAGCGGCGGGCCGGGGGAAGTGGGCGCGAGGGAGGCGGAAGGGGGAAACGCGGGATTCGGGATGCGCGGGCTCGGCGGCACGGAGGGCTGCCGCGGGGCGCAGCCATAGGGATGCGGGGCACATCCATAGGGAAACAAGGGGAGGTTTCCATAGGGATGCAGGGCACATCCATAGGGAAACAAGGGGTTTCCATAGGGATGCGGGGCACATCCATAGGGAAACAAGGGGATGTTTCCATAGGGATGCGGGGCACATCCATAGGGAAACAAGGGGGGATCTCCATAGGGATGCGGGGCACATCCATAGGGATGCAGGGCACATCCATAGGGATGCAGGGCACATCCATAGGGATGCAGGGCACCTCCGCAGGGACGCAGGGCACATCCGTGTGGAAGCAAGATGCCTCTGTAGGGATGCAAGGCACTTCCATAGGGAAGCGGGGTACCTCGGCAGGGATGTGGGGCGCATCCATACGGACACAGGGCACATCCCTCGGGACACGGGGCGCATCCATACAGACGCGGGGCGCATCCCTTGGGATGTGGGGCATATCCATAGGGATGTGAGGTGCATCCATACGGATGTGGCGCACATCAACAGGGAAGCAGGGCGCATCCATACAGACGTGGGGCACAGTCATAAAGATGTGGGGCGCATCCATACGGATGTGGGATGCATCCATACAGACGCGGGCGCATCCCTCGGGATGCGGGGCGCATCCATACAGACATGGCACGTAGCCATAAGGACGTGGGGCGCATCCATAGGGATGCGGGGTGCATCCATAGGGATGCGAGGTGCATCCATACGGATGTGGGGCACATCCATAGGGAAGCAGGGCGCATCCATACAGACGTGAGGCACAGCCATAAAGACGTGGGACGCATCCATAGGGATGCGGGGTGCATCCATAGGGACGTGGGGCGCATCCATAGGGATGCGAGGTGCATCCATAGGGATGTGGCGCACATCAATAGGGAAGCTGCGCACATCCGTACAGACGCAGGGAACATCCATAGGGACGCAGAATGCATCCATAGGGACGCGGGGCGCATCCATACGGACGTGGGCGCATCCATACAGACATGGGGCGCATCCATACAGACACGGGGCACAGCCATAAGGACGTGGGGCGCATCCATAAGGACGCAGGGCGCATCCATAGGGATGCGAGGTGCATCCATACGGATGTGGCGCACATCAATAGGGAAGCGGGGCACATCCATAGGGAAGCTGGGCACATCCCTAGGGACGCGGGGCACATCCCTAGGGACGCGGGGCACATCCATAGGGACGTGGGGCACATCCCTCGGGGCGCATCCATACGGATGTGGCGCACATCAATAGGGAAGCTGGGCACATCCATAGGGACGCGGGGCACATCCATAAGGACGTGGGGCACATCCATAGGGAAGCAGGGCGCATTCATACAGACATGGGGCACAGCCATACGGACGCGGGGCGCATCCATAGGGACGCGGGGCACATTCATGCAGATGCAAGGCACGTCCGTAGGGACACGGGGCACATCCATAGGGACGCGAGGCACATCCATAGGGACGCGGGGCACATTCATGCAGATGCAAGGCACGTCCATAGGGACGCGGGGCACATCCATAGGGACGCGAGGCACAGCCATAGGGACGCGGGGCACATCCATAGGGACGCGGGGCACATTCATGCAGATGCAAGGCGCATCCATAGGGACGCGGGGCGCATCCACAGGGACGCGGGGCGCATCCATAGGGACGCGGGGCGCATCCATAGGGACGCGGGGCGCTCACCGTCGCGCAGGCAGCCTATCCGGTACATCATGGGCATCTTGATGACAAAGGCGAAGAGGTCGTCGATGAAGGTGTTGAGCGCCTTGTAGGTCAGCATGCGCCACGGCAGGTGCGCCACCGACTTCAGCTTGTAGTTGATGAAGAGCTGCGGCGTCATGGTGATGAAGCCTGCGAGGCCGAAGGCTCCGTCAGAGCCCCGCTCGCCTCTCCCGGCCCGCCGGAGAGCCGCTTTTCCGGCCGGGAGGACGGCACGCGGATTGAGCCCCGCTCCTTCCCGCACTCCGGGGGTACCCGGAGGTGCTCCCAGCTGCCCGGCTCCAGGGATTCGGGATAGTTGCGGGCTTCGGGAGAGCCGGGAATGCCGACGGATCGGCAGGACTCACCGAAGGTGAGGAGGAAGCCGTAGAGCATGCTCAGCACCCACGAGTACCAGCCCTTGTGCTCCAGGTACAAGAGGCTGTAGACGGCGTAACAGCCCAGCAAGGGGAAGAGGATCCACGAGAGGTACCGGAACGCCATCTGGGAAGGCAGGGAGCGCACGGATGAGCTGGGAAAAGGCCTGGAGGCGGCACTCGGGCTTCGCCGTTCCCCCTCTCCGCAGCTTAGCGCCCCTTTCCCGAGGATTTCGGAGGCCTTGGATCAAGGGGAGGTGATGAGTGATGGCCGGAGCTGCTTTTCCAAGAGCCTGCGCTGTCCCCCGAGAGATGGGGCAGGAAAAGGCTTCCCGGGATATTCTCCCGCCTGCGGAAAAGCCGGAGCCCTGCTCCGGAAAGCCGCCGCAGCTACTCACGTCATCGTACACCTTGGTGGAAGACTCGATGTACGTGGATTTGTCCGTGAAGGTGAGGCGCGGAAACACCCCGGCCACCTTGTTCTCCCGGTCCAGCTGCCGGGAGAAGCGGACGGGGCCGCGCGTCACCCACGGGTGTCACCCCCGGGTGTCACCCCCGGGTGTCCTGCTGCACCCCACTCACCCGCACGTCCATGACCTTCGTGATCTTCCAGAGGTCGATGAGGAGCCCGATGAAGACGCTGACCTGCACCACAAAGTTGGTCTCGTTGTCCAGGATGTAGAGGAGGACGACGAGCGACTGGAAGACGCCGAAGAAGACGGAGCGGACGGAGAGGCCCTCCAGGGACTGCCGGCTGTTCCAGAACTGGATGTCTGCGGAGGAGGAGCGGAAGGCGGCCGCTCCGGCGCGGCCGGGAGAGGTGGGAATGAGGCCGCGCGTCGCTTCGCCGCTGCCGGATCCGCTCGGCCCGGGACTCACCGTTTTTGAAGGCCAGGAACTCGAAGACGCTGTGGACGATGGAGACGACGATGGTCAGAGCGAGCAGGTAGGGGTTGGTCTCCAGGAGGGCGACCTGCAAGCGAGAGCCTCGCTGAGGCTCCGGGATGCCCCCGGAAACCCGACGGGAGCGGGGCACAGGGAGCAACCCCCCTCACCTTCACCGAGTCCTGCTCCTCGTCCGACTGCTCGTACAGGTCCTCGCCCAGGAAATTCCAGGGGGATTTGGTGCTCTGGGCGGCGTAGAGCTGCCAGCGCCACAGCGAGAGCGGGCAGAAGGAGAGGCGGAAGGGCAGGCGCTGCAGCGTCTCGTTGATGGGGAAATAATCCTTCTGCAGGTTCCAGTAGTCGTTGAAGTAGAGGATGGGGTAGTAGTCGCCGCTGACGGCGTCGAACTTCACGTCTGCGGCCGAGGAGGAGCCCTGAGCGGCGCGGGGAGCCCCCATCCCGCGCGGGGCAGGGGCGGCTTCGTTCCCGAGGGACGCCGGCGGATCCCGGGGGTGTTTCCCGAGGGAGCGGGAGCGCGTGCCGGGCCTTACACTGGTCCAGGGGGGGCGGCACGCTGCCCTTCACCCAGGGCGTGTGGTCGTCCACCATGTTGATGGTCAGGTTGGGGTGCCAGTGCGAGATCACCTCCACGGGGCCGTAGTCCTCGGCCCTCTGCGAGGGCCGGAAAATCCCGCTGGGAATCTCCAAGGAGCCCCCGACCCGCGGCCGTTCCCGCCGGGAATCTCCAGGGAGCCCCCGACCTGCGGCCGTTCCCGCCGGGAATCCCCAGGGAGCCCCCGACCTGCAGCCGATCCCGCCGGGAATCCCCAGGGAGCCCCCGACCTGCGGCCGATCCTACCGGGAATCCCCAGGGAGCCCCCGACCCGCAGCCGATCCTGACGGGAATCCCCAGGGAGCCCCCGACCTGCAGCCGATCCCGCCGGGAATCTCCAAGGAGCCCCCGACCCGCGGCCGATCCTACCGGGAATCCCCAGGGAGCCCCCGACCCGCGGCCGATCCCGCCGGGAAGCCCCCGACCCGCGGCCGATCCCGCCGGGAACGGCCGGGAAGGAGCCAGTTACCTTGATCA